CTTCCCAATTGCCCAGAAATGAGCAGCTTTGCTCCATCATGCCCTTCTGCCAGGAATATTCGTGTGTAGGAGCCAGTTGCCCATGATCTGAAACCTCTGAAATCAGGGGCCAGATAACTATTTCCTCCATTGAAGTGTGGGTATGTGGTATTTTGAACATAGCAAGAAAAAGATAAGCAGTACAGATACAAATAGAGAAGGAGGCAGGCAAATCATCTCACTTGCAGAAGAGAGGGTTCTCTACTTACAAGACCCCGTAGACTTAACTGACTTTCAAAGTTGTCAAATTCAGCAAAGCAGGATACAAAATCAACTTTAAAAAATCATTAACTTTCCTGTACACTGATGATGAACCTAGCTGAGAAAGAAATCAAGAAAATAGTTCCATTCAGAGTAGCTTCAAAAACAAAATAAAATATATAGGAATCAGCCTAACCATGGAAGTGAAAGACCTCTATAGTGGAAATTATAGACCCTTTAAGAAAGAAATCAGAGGATACTGGAAGATGGAAAGACCTCATGCCATGTTCTTGTTCTTGGGCTGGCCGAATTAATATTGTTAAAGTGGCCATGCTATTGAAAGCAGTCCTCATCAAAATTCCAAGGCCATTTTTCACAGAAGTAGCAGCAAGAGAACCTGTAAAACTCAGAATACTTAAAGCAGGCGTAAGGAAAAAAGAGTGAGGATGGAGGCATCACAATACTCAATTTCAAAGTATACTGCAAAGTTATAATATCACAAGCAGCATGTTACTGGCACAGAAATAGATACATAGACTAATGGAATAGAATAGAGAACACAGGAACAAAACCAAGCAGCTACAGCCTTTAGATTCTTTTCAAAGGGACTATTATGAAAGATACTTCTTTAATCAGTAGTACTATGAAGCTGGTTATCCATGTATATAGAAGATTGCAACTGGATTCCTATGTGTTAGTGCTAAAATCAATTCAAAGTGGGTCAGAGAACTAGATATAGGACCTGAAACTTTGAAACTACTAGCACAAAATGTAAAGGAGATACTTGAAGTCAAGACAGGCAAAGACTTCTTGGATAGGGCTCCATTGGCACAGGAAACAATAGCAAAAACAACAATTAGGACTGCGTCAAATGTTGAAGCTTCTTCACAGCAAGGGAAACAGCCAACAGAGGGAAGCATGTACGGAGTGAAAGAAAGTCTTTGTCTTTTGTTTTTATGACAGAGGATTAAGATGTGGAATATGCACAAAAGTAAAAGATGCCAAAAAATAAATGGGCTAGTCCTTGGGAAATGAACAGACAGTACTCAGAAGAATTGCAAGTAGCTAACAAGTATATGGAAAAATGACCAACATATTAGATAAACTCAAATGAAAACTACATTGAGATTCTATCTTACGTAGTCAGAATGCCTATCATCAAAAATACAAAGAATAATGAAATGCTTGCAAGAATACAGGGTGTGTGTTTGTGTGTGCGGGGGTAAGGGGTATCGTTGCGTATGGGAATGTAAATTAGTATAGCCACTATGGAAATCAGTATGGAGGTTCCTTAAACAACTAAAAGTAAAGCTACCCTATGACCCAGCTACACTGCTCTTTGATGCCTACTCAAAGGAATTAAGTCATTTTATATAGGAAACCTATATCTACATATTTATTGCATCATAGATCTCAATAGCCAAGATATGGAACTGGCCTTGATACCAGTCAACAGATAAACTAAAAATTAGTGTTTATATACACAGTGGAGTCTTGTTCAGCCATAAAAAAGAATGAAATTATGTCATTTGCAGGAAAATAGATGAAAATGAAGATCATGTTAAGGGAAATAAATCAGAGTTAGACAAGTATCGAATGTTTTTCCTACTATGTGAAATCTTAAAAAAAGTCATCAGAGTAGAATGGAGACCAGTTGTTGGCTGGAGGAAAAAAATAACTGTAGGAGACCGTAGTTGTAAAGGTGGGTAGATCATAGAGTGGATGGATATAATCAGTATATGTAAGTGAAAATATGGGAACCAAAAACATATGTACCAATGCTTCACAATGAATGTAATCATTATATACTGTAAAAATATATTATGAAAATAAAAATTTTAAAAAGCTTTAAAATCAAGATACTAATAAAAACATATTTTAGAAAATTTTGTAAAACTTTGAGATGTTTTAAGTAACTGGTTACAAAGAGTAATCTAATGCTGACTTTAAGTCATTTATAATTGTTTGAAATGTAAAATTATTGTTACCTCATTCAAGTGTTGCTGCAAATGTTTTCCATTTCATACTACTATAGTTTGTTAAAATTTCCCTGTACATCCATATTAACACATTTTACCATCTTATGGAAAGTGACTGTTTCAAGCCTCAAAAATATTATTTGTTGCCAGGTTGTTCATACTACTTCAGTTGATACATCAGTATTACACCACTCAAAATATGGTAAGGGTTGCTTTCTTTTAGCAGTTCCTCTTATTACATTTGCATAAGAAAGGGTGTGGACAATGAATCTAATGTGGCATGTTCTATAGTATTTTAAATCTAATTAGAAAGAGAAGTATGGTATTTTGGTATTTTATAGTGGTGAGTCTGGCATTATTATTTTTTGTCATGTATATTTAGCCAGTACCATTTAAGGCATGTATACAGTTTTAGTTTATACAGGATAATATTAGGGCATTATAACCTTTATAAAATGGTAATCAAAATACTACTTATGAAAATCTAAGGGAGAAAGTTCCATGTGAAATCACCTGAAATCAGCACATTCTACATTGAATGGATATATATGAGTAATATTTTTGTATCTTTTCTACACAAAATACAAAGATTCGTCTCCCTTTTGTTAGGGGATAGAAAGCTTTATAATGATAGGCAGAAAAGAAACTTTAAAGATGGCCTTGTTGCTTTTGTAATAAACCCAGCTGATTCCCTGGGAGAGTTAAAATGTCTTTGTCTAAACTGTCATAACATGGAATCTCAGAAGTGCAGTAGTTATTTCATGCAATGAGGTCCATACACACAGAATCTGTCACTTCCACAGTGGTAGTTTCTGTTAACTGTAGATTGTTCAGGAAATTATTCCTCAAGGTAAGGGTAAAGGGTAGTTTAAAAAATAATGAATATTTAAATTTTCAAAATTTGTTAAAGGACATTTTCATTAATTCCCCTCAAAATATTCCCTGTTGCTTCAAACACATCGCATTGTTCTTGCCACTTCCTGAAGCAAGTCTGAAGATCCTCATTTGTGAATGTGCTCATAAAGTGTGACGACAAATACATTAATGCTTTATTGAGTACTGTCTCATGGAATGGTAGGCTTGTGAAAACATACAGTGTATTTTCATCTACTTTGTTCACCTGATCAAGCACTTTGCAACTTTTGGCTGTTCTCCAAAGTCAAAGTGACCATAAAAGGTAAATGTTTTAAATTTTAGGACCTCAGGGTAGCCATAACAGCCCCACTAAAGACATTCATGAAAGAGGACTTTCAGAACTGCTTCAGGAAATAGGAAGAATGATGGTATAAGTCTTTTCAAAGTGTGTGTGTGTGTGTGTGTGTGTGTGTGTAGGGGGAAATTGGGAGGAGGATTAATAGCAGTGTGTCTTTCACTGTAATAACTTACTTGAACACATTTTTTGGTTGTATCTTGTGTCTTTATTTGCATATTGGCTGAACTAGGTTTTAGGGGAGAAATAAAGGAATGAAAGGGGAGTTCTGTCTTCCAGCAGGTTATATTTTAGTTAGATAAGATGCATAAATAAAAAACTTAAAAGTTACATTTAATTGATTTAGGTTATTATAATGACTATTATTTACGTGGAGTTTATTAGGATGGAATTAGTGTTTTTCCAAATCCTAGCTAACTTTAAAAACTTTAGTTATGGGCTGAGGATTTAGCTCAGTGGTATAAGCACATATCTGGCAAGCATGAGGTTGTGAGTTCAATCCCTGGTACCAAAACAACAACAACAAGAAAAACCCAACAACAACAAAAAACAAAACAAAAACTTAGTTACCAAATTTGAATTGTTAACCAGTTGTAAAGGGTTATGTTGTTTTACTCATTTATGTCATTTAATGCCTTCAACCTAGTAAAATCGGCATCAATGTTATTCAGTAGTAGAAGTTTAAATCCTCGGTCTGATAGCTATTGAGTGGCCTGACTTCTTGGAACTTACTTCTCTGTTTCCTTACATTTCTGTCTTTTATTAACCATATAGTCAGTATTTACTAGTTTACTCTGCAAGACTCATCTTACATAGGGAGCTTATTCTTTCATTTTAACCAGATCAGTTCTTTTGATTGTAGAGTTTCTCTAAGAGACTTAATGATTAAAGGGTAATTATGGTTTTTTAAGAAAAAAGGTTGTCAATTTTTACAAAGCCATATAATTTGACCTGCTTTATTAAAATGAAACTACAAAAAATACTTGAAATTCAGACCAGCCAAATGACTGGTTAGCTGCAAGGCAGTTTGTTTCTATCCTAATGGTTAGTATATAACTTTCAACAATCCTTTTCTTTATTTTCAAAGTTTATAATCACAATACAATATGTTCTTGCTTTTTCTTTAAAGTGATATGTGGTGCTTAAAGGATCACTCTGTGTATATGCTAAATTGTATTGAGGACATAGAAAAGGCAAAGGGGGGAATATATATTATAACGATTATATTTTTTAAATGTCCATTGCCGTGTCAGAGGATTTAAGTTGACTGAAGAATGATGTCCTTCTTGTCTATTTTATGAGCCCTTGAAATACTTTTTAAAGAAATTAAAATAGTTGGTTTGGGCTTGAAAATCATGTGTGGTCTTGTTTGATGAGAAGCATGAATTTATATAGGAATAAGAGTAATTGCTCTAAACTGCTTCTTTCAAAATTAGATATCCTTTATCTATTTTTTTATCAGTCGGTTCTTTCAAAATAAGATACCTTCTAGTAATTTTAAAAAATCAATAATTGTGTACTTACCCTTATACAAACCTCCAAACTGACTTGTCATTACTTTTATTTTACAGGAATCATCTAGAACAGTTTCAGGCAGATACAAAAGGTAAGCATACTTGAGTTTTTGGGAGCATCCCCTCGCCATCATTGAATCCAGGGTCTTAGAGCTTTTTTTCTTGTTTTAGAGATGGCCATTTATTACAGTGTCCTCATGTGTCAGGGATAGTAGCAAGCACTCTGATGTTGCTTTTTAGGGACTGCTTATCCCATCATGAGGACCTCCACCTTCATGATTTCATCTAAACCTAATTATCTTCCAAATAATTCTCTAAATACATTACTATCATATTGGACATTAGAGCTTCAGTATTACCTGCACAATGAATATCCCTTCTACAAGAGTGTGTTTGTTTATATATATATATATATATATATATATGTATAGGGCTCCCATCCAAGTACTAACCAGGCCCGACCCTGCTTAGCTTCCGAGATCAGATGAGATCGGGCGCATTCAGGGTGGTATGGCTGTTACATATATGTATAGGGAACAGTATTGGAATTAAGTATGAGCAGTTGTTTAGTGAAATTACCAGAGAAATTAACTTCCTTTTTTCCCTTTGAGACCATAGACCTTGCAGAAGTATAGCTAATATTTGTGCTAATAGCCATAGATCGATGAGTTCTTCTGCTGTTCAAGTACTTCACATGAGAATCTTATTTCACAGTTATTTTATAAAGTAAATACAATTTTAATTTGAGAATTATTTCCCTAGAGTTATAAGCATAGTCAGTAGCAGAGCCTGAATTGTAACTTAGGCAGTTTGACTTTAAAACCTGCATGTTACTAACTAAATATACCAGACCATATATGGTAGATTTATACATGTAAAACCTTGTGTTTATCTATTCAGGGGTTAAACTTTAAGCTATTTTTGATATATTCCATCATAAAACATTGTGTAGGAGTAAAATTATGTATGTGTGTGTAAAATTTAATTTTTATTTTTATAGGGGCCAGAGTATTACCAGTAGAGAGAGATAAGAAAATCAAGATAATCGCAGTAGAGTTAGTAGATTTGAAACCATTTGTGGCACACAGAAAAACACTCATTGGTTGTGCTGCTAATTTTATTTTCATTGTAGTATTTTTAGTTACTATGAACAGTTGAAAGTGAAAAGAATATTTTTGCCAGAAGTCACTTTGGAAAAGCTTTGATTTGACTTATTCCCAGACCATATTCTGAAATCAAGAAGTTTTTCATCATCAGTTTTTTATTTGAGAAATAACAGTAAATTTTGATAACTTAAAAAGTTTTCTGTACCACTTTCATATTTAGTATGAATAGAGTTTCAAATTATGAATGACAGATTTGTGTTCTTGTACTAAAACCTGTTTTTGGAATACTTTTTAAAAGTAAATCTTCATCAGAGATTCTATTGACATGTCATTTTGTTAAATCAGGGAAAATTTCTTTCTATATCATACATTTTTAAGCTTTTAAGATTATTTTATTTGTGGCTGGGGATTTCGCTCAGTGGCATAATGCCTGCCTTGCAAGCAGGCAGTCGTGAGTTCAATCCCTGGTACCAATAAAAATGAAAAAGACAAAAAAAAAAAAAAGATTATTTTATTTATGATATATTCATGTACTTTCATTTTTATAGCCTAGGATAAGTGGTTTGTTACTTTCTAGCTTTTAAAAGTTTGACCCTATTTATTACTGTTAAAAATATTTGTAAGTTTCTAGTAATTTTTCAGAATTACAACAATTTCATTTTGCTGGCCTGAAAAGTATAAATAAATAACCAAATACATACACCTAGAATCTATAACTGAAATTATGTTATCTGATAAGAAGATATTATATAAAAATTAATTGCCATCATTAATCCATCTGCAAGTTGTAGCAGTGACTAGAGAATGGGTGTTCTTCATGAGGGTTTCTGCTGACAAATGAAGGTGACAAAAGTTAGGAATTGAGTAAAGGAGAAAAGTTGATATTACATATTTTTAAAAAGTTTTCGGTAACCTTTAAAATAACTTATGCAATGCACACGACTTTCAAATGGTTATTAAACAGTTTAAGTGCCCAGAAAACTTACTTTATTTATGTTCTTACAAATTGCTAAATATTTAATTTTTTTTATCACAAATGTCAAGTATAGCACTAAGTCTATTGCACAGACTAATTATGCTGTACTTTAAGGTGGAGTGAACTGTTGTTTGTATAGAATATCTCTTATATTCACTGTTTTTCATTTCAAATGACTTTAGAGGACTATTTGGAGATGGGGACATGAGCTTTCTTACAATCAAAATTTAAGAAAGACCAATCAATGCCATGTGTTTGTGGGGTTGTAATTTTTCTTTTTTCAGTGTAATTTTATTAGTAGGATGTTCACTATGTTAAGTATATAGTATATTGCTTACATTTTAAAAAAGATAAAGCAATTCTGAAGCACTTGGAAAAGGCAGGTTTAGCCAAGATGTGTCATTCACTGTTTAAATTTAAGCATGTATTTCACATATCAGGAGTGATACTGATTAAAAACTTGGGAAACTTAAGACTCTTAACTATTGTTTTATTTTACATAATTAACTAGTTGTTTTGTTTTCACAACTGTGTGTAATTTAGTCTTATTAAGTAACATTTATACAAAGTAGTAAGTGCTTCTCAGCCTCCAGTCTACCCTCAGTAGCATTAATCGATTTAATAGTTTGCAAGGCTCCTATACATACTTAACCTTACTTAGCCCATCAGACAGCTGGCATCTTCTTTCCCAGATGAGGAGAAGGTCTGTGAAAAATTTGGGTTTTTTGTACTGGAGATTGAACCCATGACCTCACACTGAAACAGGCACTGTGCTGCCGAGCTATGTCCTGGCTCCTTTTTTTAAAAAACATATTTTCTTTGAGCAAGAAGTGAGTTATAATAAATATCTGCAAGTTTTATGTTATTGTGGTTTTATGATTCATGTAACCGTATCAGGGCTTTTCTTCCCTGATACTGAATTTTTTTCTTTTGACAAAATCTTGCTATATAGTTCAGGCTGGCCTTGAACTCACTGTTTAAGGTGTCATTAATGTGCCAGTCTTCCTTTTCCCTTTCTCCTCCCTTCCACCTTCCTCCTAATTTTGAGACAATGTCTCACTAAATTGGGGAGGCTGGGCTAGAGGTTTAACTCAGCAGCAGAAGTGCTTGCTTGGTGAGCGTGAGGTCAGGAGTTTGATCCCTGGTACAAAAAAATTTTTTTGTGGGCTGATCTAGGAACTTTTCAGTCACTCAGTGTATTAATAAATAATTTAATCCTAACTCGGATTTCACATTTATTTGTTCATAGCTTTGCTTATAAGGAACACAAGGTAAATGTAGAGAAATGTACCCAGCTCAACCAAGTGATGCAGGAAAACACAAAACACACTTGGGTGTAACTATAAGCAATACAAACATATACCAGCTGGTTCCATGTGAGTCACAGCCTGCCTTCCATATGTAGCTTTGTAAGTTTCAATCTGATTTTAGATAATACTCCTCGAACTTAACAGTAACTCATTAGCTATAACCCTTGATGCCCATATCTATGTGGAAACTTCACTTATTTTTATGGATGTCATTTTTTTTAAATGTCATGTTTATGTTATATATTCATAACCATATAACATATATAACACTGCTAACCATTTTTATTAGGTTCTTGCAGTATGTCATTGATGAAGTTTGTGAGCAATGTGTCCATATTAGTTATTTTTCTCTGAAACAAAATACTGACACCTGCAACCTGAAGGGAGATCTCTTTGGCTCACAGTGTCAGAAGGTCCAGGTGGTTGGTTTTAGGGCAGAAATACCATGATGGGAAGGGCATGGCAGAGGAGAACATAGCAACCCATGGGAGCCAGGAGGCAGATAGAAAGGAGGAGCCCCAGGGCTAAAGAACACACCTTTCCAGGTTGTGTGCTCAGAGAACCCCTTGTCTGACAGGTCCCACGTCCTAACAGCACATTCGGCAATAACTCGTGAACGCATTGCCCAGGCCCAGTTTAACTTGCAGTCTTCCGTTTTATCTTCCCAAAGTGCGAGAATTGTAGGTGTGTACATCCATGTCTGGCAATTCTGTTGTTTTTGACCTAGTAGAGACATGTAGAACTTCAATTGTTGCTTGATTTTTCTGTTATTTCATAGGGAATTGAATAAAATCTATTTAAGTTTGAAAATGAATTATTTAGAAATGTAATTTTATGCGGTTTTGTGATGTTGCAACAGAGCTATATTAACCATTTTCTTAAATGGGACTTTATAACATTGTTTTAAAACTTAGTTTTTGCTTTTCTGCACAATTGTACTGAGAACCATAGAGTAGAAAGAAAACTTCCTTGGTTGTCGTTCAAGGATCACATCAGAAAAACCAGCTAGATTCTGTAAAAATGAAAAAAAAAATTATACCAAGGAAGTCCAGATGTATATCCTACTAGTTGAAGAGAGACAGTGTCTTTTTGGGTTTATGTGACCCTTTTAAAAGAAATTATTCATTTTCAAGATCTCTCACTTCTGTGTTAGCATATAGTAACAGATTATTCGGGCATACAACAGCTATAGTTGTTTTGGTTAGTGAATTTTACAAAAGGATGTGAAAATAGCAATGTGGTAATTTACAGTTCATTGCTGTGTTGGTATATTTTGTGGGCTGAATTCTTTGCTGGTGGATTTGTGGACTTTTCTGTGTTGCAAGTAAAATTTATATAATATTTGTTATGTATCAGATGTTTTTATAAGTACTTTTTATTCAGCTAATTCCTCAGTAGTCCTATGAAGGAAATGATTTTATTATTCCTATTTTACAAATGAGGAAGCTGAGATTAAGCAGATATTACCAGGCAAGTTTTGCCAGCACTTCCTGGTACACTCATGTGCCTAGTATCAATAAGAGGCCATGTGGAAGTTTGATTTATTTTATTTAGACTCCAAATAACTGGAATGTACCAATGGCTAGATTTTTTTCTGTTCAACACAGGCTCTAAAAATTTGTGTGGCAGAGGGGGAATAACTTCTACATATCTGGCCCTGAATTTCATATTCTATCATACTCTCAACTTTGTTTCAGCTA